ACCCTCTGAGTAACAGTGAATTAGGAGAAAGTAGGAGCAGTACAGGGGAATTTAGAAGAAACCGTCCCACTTGTTCACCTCAATGAAGTCGAGAGTTAGACAGAAAGGAAGAGGGCCCCAAGACTTGAGTGAAAAGATAAAGAAATGCAATCCCAATAAAAAAAAAAGGGGGGTGGTGGTAAATCCTTGATGGCTTTAGACAGCTAGGTCTATGACGGGGGAGGAAATTCCTGTTTAGAAAGGATTTTTATTTTAAGTTATTCCCAAATGTAAGATTTTTCTAGAATGTCATGATTTAGGGGAAGACAGAGACAGGTACAATCTAATTCCTGAGATTACATGTGGCTAAAAACATCTTGGGAGAGTCTTCTAATATGTATCTTACATAGGGTAAATCATATTTTACCTCATGAACAAACAAGTCAAAATTCCCTTTTTGAATGTGTTATCACAACATCATCTAGTGTAAAGACTACTATTGTGGATTTTCAGCCTCAAGAGTCCACTATTACATGATCTTGATTCATATGCCAGATGACATGTCTTGATGGGATCTGCCTACAGGAAGACTATATTCTCCTGTTTGCTTAAGTTATCAATAGCCTTTGTTAGGGTCTTTAAAATGCTTGAGGCAAATTCTGATTCCAATTAGTCCTAGAAAGATTTTCAGGTGCAACAAGTTGCCAAGTCTAGAATTGGCCAGTGTATATATTTCAACCAAGGGAGGCATCTGTTTGAGAGATCTCATGTAGCCCTATGTAACCTTGCATAGAGGTGGTCCGGGAGAGTCAGCCATCAGTCTCTTGGTATTCAATCTCGGTTCTTGACCTCACCTTTCACAACTATAAGCTTCCATATTCCAGACTTCTGTTTTGGGGAGAGAAAGATGCTAAGGAGAGGAGCTGGCAGTCAAACTATGCAAGTAAAAAGCACGAGTTATTCCATCAAAAAAGTAAAGTAGTCCAACCTCTGAGAAAGTAAGACTGCTAGTTGAAAGAAGAGGTAAGAGCCCTGAGGGGAGGGCAAGAAGAGAAAAAGTTGGAATTAGGAAGGAATAGGGGAATGAAAAGCCTTGTGGAATTTAAGCTATCAGATTCTGGGTACAAAGGCTTGAGAAAGGGAACATTACCCTATAAGGAACGAAAAGAATAAGCTCTATGGGAAAGGAAATTCCATTTTCTGGGTTAACGGGGGAGTCCTACAGGCCTGTAGCTCTGCTGAACCTCAGATGGTATGCAGTGGGGAAGAATGCAGAGACGTGACTCTCGTCTTCCCTAGGGGAAAACAGTTGTGCCCTCTCTCAGGAAAGGAAAGGAGAGAGACAAGCACAGAGAGTCTAGCCTCCAGAGTGTGGGCCTAGAAATAATGAGGTTCTCAGAGAAAACAAAAACAAGAAAATTCAGATCTGTTTTTCATTTTATGTTTTCAGGGGTAGAAAGAAGAACTAACAACCAGTATTACCACTTAGACGTACGTTAGGTAAAAGGAAGAGAATGGTAGCCCTTCAAGTCTCTCTGGTAGAAAGAGCAAGAGCTCAGGCTGCCTGAGAGAAACCTGAGGGGGTGGATGGGGTTGGGGGACAGGGGAGCTGCATATCTCGCTCCCTTTCCTTCTCAGCTCGATGCTTGAAAGAATGAAGAAAATGATTTAGAAATGGCCCTTCACTGGTGTTGTGTTGTTACTGCTGGGAGGCAGGGGCTCCAGGTCTTGCCCAATTAA